ATTGTGTTTTTAGGGAATGAACTGTTTCAGTGACAGATAAGACTAGGCATAGCTATTGCTGATATCAGTTTGACTCAGAATTTTGTGTCATTCATATTATGAGAGTAGTGCTAATCCACAGGCACATAGCTCAACTTGCAACAGATTTATATAAAAATTGGGAAATCAATCTAAAATGAGTGCCATATTCTCTACCTTCTGCAGGCAAGGAAGTGGCTTTGGAGAACTTGCTGAATCTGCTGGGGAATGGAGAGAGAAGTAACAAAGTTTGATATTTGGCAGCTGGAAATCCAGCTTGTGTTTAGAGGATTTTAGATACCCTTGACTAGAAGTGATTTCAAGATTTGAGTTAGCAAGGACATCCTTCAACCCCAACTCCTGTATGCTGTGAAGAATGTGGCAGACTTTTCTATCCTGGTTAGGAGTTGTCTTCTGCTTTATTTAATTAAGTGTTGGCCACAATGTCTAAAATAAACTGTATGAAATCTGGTAAAGGGACAGGTGAGAAAGTCCTACCTAGTCTTCATTGTTCAGTTGAGAGTGATGTGTTGGCAGTGGTTGGAAGTGGTGTTTGCACTTTTCCATTTCATCTTTTCTGTGAGATGCTGCTTCTATTTTGTTACACCCTCAGCCTAAGCATGGGTCTCCACACTTCCCTGGGGCCATGGCAGTGTAAATGCTACAGTAGCAGTAGTGCCCAATAGAAAGTACTTCAGGTGAAACTCTTAAATCCTGTCCCATCAGCTTTCTCTGTGCTTTGTTTTTATCTGTTCTTGTCTGGGTTTCCTTGCCATTGCCTCTGAGCTAACTCCCACCCAAAAATGGCAAAGGGTTAAGATAGTGAGACAACTGCTGGAGTAAGGTGATCTGAAGAATTCTTTGGATTTTGGTTGATAAATACAGTATATTCCATATTTATATAATTGTGTGGTAGCTGTTATGACAACTGTACCTGTAGTGTAGCTATATGCGTCTCATTTAATATAGCTCTTAATTCTTCTGTCTGTGGTTTACATGAGTTACATATAATTGTATCTGATCCTGACAACATACCTGGGAGCTAAGGAGGTACCTACCATCCTTCAAATGTGTTTGGGGAACACATATGCAGGGAAATTCTTCCTTTACTTGCCTAGAAAATAGTCTTTCTCCCTTTTCTTCCTTCAAATTGTATTTATTTCCAAACTGGACAGAATGAAAATACAGTGTAAGTGTTAGACCTGTGCTAGTTTAAGTCAATTTTTTTTAGGTTCATAGGAAATCCAGCATTAGGTCATTGGAAAGGGGGGACTGCTTCTGAGTGGGCAAGAGCAGTTAGCAGAGCTGTTCCATCAGCAGGGAACTCCTGCCAATGAGGGCAGGGCAAGAGCAGAGGAGTGAGTCAAACACTGGAGAGAAGGGAAGAGACCTAGAGTAGAAGTAAAATCAAATGGACTAGAGGAAGAAGGGAATAAACCACTTGAATATTGAGAAATGGCTTGCAATTTGCTTCAGTATGTAATTTCAGTAAATTCACACTTACTAAACAATTCAATATTAGTACCAGTATAGGCAGAATTAGACTGCTCAGTGATTAACTAAGTGCTGTGAGCGGTTTGATTTCTGGGTCATGCAGTTATACCAATCCCACTCAAAGGGAAAATTTGACCATATGTGAAATCTGCCTTATAAAATTTGAATTTTCAAACAGTGGCTAAAACCATTCATGGTTAAATTTGTTGAGGGTTATTAGATGAGGATGTTTTGATTGTGAATTCTTTCAGGTTATTGTCATAAAAAGTTGAGTACAGTTTGAAGCTATCAGGTCTTTACAGGAAAAAAGCAGTAGCTGTTCTGTCATGATTTTTTTGCAAATATGATTACAACCTATTAATTTGGCATTAATAGACTGTAGAATGAAAGAAATTGTTGCTGCTGATGTTAATCATGACAAAATTAAACATTTCACAGAGAAGAGTAAAAAGGAAACATATTTCAGGGTAGCAAAAGCAATGACTAGAATGTGAGAATCTTGTCCATCTTGGGCTTTTTTCAGTCAAGGGTTGTAGTCATTGCCATGTTGTGCTGTGTGCTGTTTCCTCTTTTGTTACCCAGCACTTTGCTTTCACAGGCAGGTGCCCAGAAGAACTAATCCTTGTATAGAATTCTGCTTTGTCAAGATCTGAGTCCTTGTTTCTGTGCCTTCTTCTCTGTCTTAAAAGACAGAGATGTCCTAACTCAGCCAAATAGATATCCTGTTGGACTTTTTTAGCCACTTTTCTTAGCTGTAGGAAATTTATACAAATTCAAAGAATGGCCTGTCCAAGTAACTCTTCTGACTATCATTAAGTTTTGGAGTATGTTATTTTTCTTATTCTGCTGAAGATTTTATTATGTCAGTTACCTTTTCTCAGCACAATGAACAGACCACTTCTTGGGTGAGTTGCTCTTCTAGTATGAAGCAGAAATTCTTCTCCTAGCTCTGTTGGTTTATGCTGATTTTCTGTAGCTGGCAGGTTAATGAACCTGTTGCTTATTTGCATTTGTTGGGTTTCTGGAAGGTGGGATGGGTGAGTTTACCAAATGTGGTTTGTAGAACAGTGTTCACAGGAAGAAAACCTTGGTTTTCTAAGGTTCCCAGACCAGGTATGCAGTGACTGTTATCTCAGCCAAGCAGACATCTGTGATTCAGGGAGGGCATGGTTGTTGCAGGAGGAGTGTCCAAAGAGAAGCCATCATTTAAAATCCATGGCCTGAAGGCATGACTGTTTATCTAGGAGGATGGGGAGTCCTTATTTTGACCTGGCCAAAACCTGGTGATTAAGAGGTTCATTTCCCCTATTTCTGGCACATATGTTCCTTTTCCTGGGCAGATACCCATTTGCTTGCTTGGCTTTCTAAACTTGAGCTTCATATCTATGAGGAGACTCAAAGGGTAAATTCATACACTAATCCAGAGTTTCTCTTCCTGATGTGTCATGGAGAAGTGAATGTGTTTGGGCATACTTTCTAGGTTTTTGGTTTCATCTTGGAATGTGTTTATAGCCAACCATTTTCTTGTTACAGCTTCTCCTTTTGCCTTCCTTTTTAGCCCAGTAGTTTTTCACTGACCTGACTTAGGAGAAAGGTATTCATAGCTGACAGACTTCTGGCTATTTATGGACTTACTTATTTCCCCTCTACTGTTCTACTTTGTGTTAGGTCTTTGTTCTGAAGGAGAGGCTTCCCTTGCATGTTAGTCCTCTTGCAAATGAAGGGAAAAACCTGCAGCTGCCTTATGGGAGAGGTTACAGGGCATTTCTTAAATCTCAGTAGTGTCCTTCATTTTCTGCCAGTCTTGCTTTAGCCTGATTAGCTGCCAGGTAGATGAGAGCAGGAGGCCACCAGGAAACAGAATGGGTGCTTCAAAGCCTTGTGCACTGCAGTGGTTTCAAAGGAGTGCAGACAAATGCTGTGGATTCTGCTGTCCTAGAGCCTGGAGCAAGCATTGGGTCCCTAAGGTCCTACATTTGCTGCAAATTGACCAGCCATCAAACTAAGTGACTGCCTTTTCTGTTGCCTAAAAAGTGGAAACTACAACAGAAGATAATTAGTAGAGCTGGTGAGTCCCTATAAGCACAACTAGTGAATCTGTCATCACTTGCTGCATAAGAAGCCAAAGTCAGCTGAAGCATTGTTCTTTTATGTAACACAGGGAAAATGGCTCTGGTCCAGGCGATGCAGAAGCCTGAGGAGCCAAACCATCCTGTGAGGTTGGCCTGGTTAGCTGTAAATAATCCTGGCTCAACTCCCCTCTTCTGTATCTGCTGGTTTTGGTGAGGGGAGGGGGAAGGCTGTGTGTTTCCTAGGCTCTATGTTCATGAACTAGACTACCCGTGCTGTGATCCGTGCAAGAACTGCTTTTAGAGCATGCACAGAACCAAGTGTGAGGGCAGAGAGTGGTTTGTGAGTGCTTGTACAGAAGTGTCTGGATAATTAACTCAGCCATTAGGTAGGAACATTTAAATCCTTGAAGATGTTTTCTGTGGGAAATACATGATAATCATCTCCTCAGGCACCCAAAAGAGACAAGGTTAGATTCTGATGTCTGCCTAAATTGCACATCAGGAATTTAGGTGCTGATTTTGATTCTCACCTGGAATAATTTGTTCCATGTCACAAGGATTTAAACCTAGTCCCACAGGAACAAATGCCAATTAGCAGGGAGTGGACACAGACCCAAGTCATAGGGGTATTCCAGGATAGCAGGGTTACTCTGTTTCAGGTGCTCTCACAGCAGCATCCTAAGCCTTGCATATAAGTTAACATTTCCCATAGCTGCTGTGTGTGAAAGGTCTTTGATCTATGAATGAGCCCAACACATGGTGCTTGTTCACTGTATGTTAACAGCAGAGGTATTATTTTTAGCTCCCAAATTCTTTTTCTTCACTATTAGAGCTGAAAGACCTTTCGTCCTTAAGGCAGGCAACTGGGGACAATGTGCTACATGAAGCTGACCCTTCCATTTGGAACAATTTTTTTCAGAATGGATAAATGGCTCTTTAAATAGCCATTACAAAATCTAAACAGTAGTCATGTTTTATAAAGTTCTAAAGAGAACTGTTGTCTTTGGAACATGTAATTTGCAGATCTCACTGCAGTAATCTTTGATTTAGAACAATTACAGCACTAAGTACTTGCCTTTTTTCCCTTTAAAAAACAAAACCAAACCCCAAACCAAAAGCCAGACAGGTTTCCAGCAAAGGCTGGGATAATTGAATGGAAACATAGCCAAGTCTTGCAAAACTCCAGTATACAGTTGCTGTTCTCTCATGAGATATTTTCTCCTGCCATCTGAGAGCCTGGTCACTTGCTTTTCTTTTTTTTTTTTTTTTTTTTAACGTAATCACCAGTTGCTAGAAATAAATATTGCAAGAACTAATATGCTAGTTACAGCCTTAAAACTGTGCATGTGTGCAGTGCACACTGGTTGAAGAGGAAGTTGTTTTATAACATTTTTAATTATGAAATTTCTTATGCAACTGAGTTAAAGGGTCATTTATAAACAATTCAATTCCAAAGCTTCCTTAGGCAGTAACTGACCTATGTCATTTCTTGTAGCTTAAGCTTGACTCAGTCCAGTCTCATGCCAAACAAGATTTGGGAACTGGAATATAAAGAATGCTGATTCAACATACAGTTCATAATATTTCTTTCCCACTCAAAAACAGGTGGAGTAGTTCCACCTGTGGCTCCAGTGTCTGGTTTTTTTACATCCCTTAGTAGAGGTGAGGCAGCTGTGCTGCTTGCTATGGCAGGAACATCTCCCAGGCACCACTGGCAGTAGGCAGGCCATGCTGACTCTGGATATTAGACCATGAAACCAGGCCTTGAACAGCTGATTGTGCAGCCAGCTTCAGTCCCTGACTGAGGAATTATTTATACAGCTACAACAAATTTAACTGCAGGCCTCTACCTCTTGTGTGGGCATGGAGCACATCCAGAAAGAAGCAAATCCTTATTTGTAATCATCAGCTTAAAACCACTGCCCTTCCCTAAGATTTTGCTAGGAAAATGATGATGGAGGGATCCTTAATACTTCCACTTCGGCCAAAGCTAACTGAGCAGCACAAGGGACCATCCCCATTCCTTATTCTTGCTATGGATCTGAGACTTCTGCTCACTTTTCAAAGAAAAAGTCATTTTCCAAAATCACTTCAGGTGAGCAAACAGCCAGACACACTGTATTTCCTACAACAGAAGACTGAGCCAAAAGTCTTCAGCCTTACAATTGACTGTGCCTTCCTGAGCTTGCTTCTACCAAAACCCACTTTTGGATGGTTTTTTAATCCAATTTTAAAGACAGTTAAATTCCATTTTATTACAAAGCTTTTATTAAAAAACAAATGCTCAGCACATTAACTCAAACTGGAATGACAAAAAAAAATTGGTTGACAGTATTTTTGGCAAAGGCTGTGCCTTACTATTTTAAAAAATGGGTACATCAATGCTCATTTCAACAACTGGCATAAAATCCCACTAACAGGCTAACAAAAACAGATACAAATACAGAACAATTGAAGTAATAATTCAAGTGCTGGGCTTTTTACAAGGAGAAGGGGAATGGGTGAGAAGGAGAACTCACTGCAGTCAGATTTGCTGAATGTATTGCTTATGTTTACAGAGTAGATGATGCAAGACTAACATGTCTACTGACCAGCTGACTGTTGTTACATTTATTTAGTTCTATAGGACACTGTATTATATAGACTGAGAGGCCACTATTTGTTACAAATAGTTTAACAAAACAGCCACCTTTTTTCCATACAGATTTTTCCTCTGGAAGAAAAAAAAAAAAAAGAAAAACTCCTTTTATTTAAAAAGTATTTCAGATTTTTGACACTTGTTTAAGCTCATACCTAGTAAAATATACACCAAAGAAATTACAAACTAAAAGTTAAAATATAAAAGCATTCAAGTTTCTTAAAAAAAGCTAAAACCAAAATTGATCCTGTCGCACCATTAAATAAAAAGGTTGAGCACGTCATCCTGGTCCAGGCAAATTCCATCCCTTGATGTGCTGTGTGGGGCAGCTGTGGTCTGCGGAATTCTGCTGGCTGAAGCAGGCACAGACAGCCATGCTACTGTGTTTGCTGACTCAATATGGACACAGATGAGATGGGGGCTTAAGAGTGCAAGGCAGAGGTGAAGACAAAAGCTGCTCTGCTGACCCAGGAGCTCATTTGCTCTATTTATATCAGGGCTGGACCTCGTGATAGTGAAGGATTTTGGCAGTGATTGTCTTTATGATTCAGTGTCTCTAGCAGTGACATCAGGGTGAATGACATCCTAGACAGACTCCTTGGGGTGGTCTGTGTGGATGAAGGACACACCTAGGGTTTAACAAGCTTCCATCTCCAGAAGGGGTCCTGGTGTCGCCGCCTTTGCTTTGCAAGTTGAGAAAGCATTTCTTTTCCCACCTACAGCGAAGAGGAGGAAAGAGAGAGAGAGTGTGTGATAAAGACTATCTGGAGCCCTTAAAAAAAATAAATTCTTCAAACAAGCTGGTGATGGGTCACTGTAACTCTTACAGGTCTATTAGTGGAATGTGCATTACAATGTCAAAGTTAAATGCAGAATTTATTACTACTTGCTTTTGCTTGAAGTTTGCAACTATATTTATGGAAAGTACTTTGCATTGTAAAGAGATACCAACTAGAAAGGTGGGATTTTAAACATCCAGCATATTACAGAATTTCTTCCCTTTAGTAGTGGATTTCATTTATCTACAACATTTGACCCAGATACCATTACAAAATTAGACATCCTCAGGCTTTAGTACTGCAGTGCAGTGGTTGAGGTCAATTAAACCTCTGTTTCAGAGCCCCAAGCTCTACTCCCTGCAGACATGAAAAAATGCTGTCTTCTGCAAGCAGTTTGGTAGAGCAATGTGGTGGATGAGGCTTGTGTGAACACTGATTCTACCATCCATCCTCAGGACTGGGGAGGATTTATTCTGCTCTTCAGTGGAGTAGGGAACATCTTCCAGCTGTGTAAGACCCATGGGCCTCCTCCCTAGCAGTAAAGTTCCCTAGATCTTGGAAGGATTTATAATCTTAGAGCATGTGAAATGGCCCACAGTACAGGTCTAATAGGAATTGCTGATCCAGAAGAGCACAGTCTAGGTCTCTGGGTTACATCAGCTGATTTATGAAATTGCCAACTCAACCATCACCCTTGCCATTCTGATCCAGACAAGTGAGTTATAACAGTCTCCACCCAAAATCTTTCTAACAAGTCAGACATTATTCCACACATGGACACATGCTCTCCAGTAACTGTTTGGGGATTATTGGTATTTCAGAAAAATCAACATTAACCTCTAGGTCTCCATGTACTACTCAATTGCCTAACAAATAGAAGGTTTGGTGAGCAAAGCTTTTGAGAGTGATCAAAATTAGCACAAGAATGCAGTTCAGTGGAGAAGGTAAACGAATTTTCACCAGAAGAAAGACAAAATGCTTAGTCACATATAGATACACTGCCAGCACCTTGAGTCACACAAGGCAAGACAGAACAAGTTTATGAAGAAATGGTTTAAACCACAAGTTAAACTGCTTTTAGACTAATAATGATAGATAGACTGCTTAAGCCTGCAAGAGCTACAAGCTGAGTTAATCAGCAAAATTTACATTACATTACATTTCAGCAGTATTTAACCAGGGCCATTTATAACTAAGCACCCACCTCCCATCTGCTGCAGCTTCCGTGTAAACCATTGCCACACAAAGTGTTTCACTCATACTGGCTGAGGAGCTGGCAGCTCCTGAGTAAGGAGCTACACTGCCTCATGTAGTCCAGGCTAGAAAGCCTCTAAAACTGATTTTGTACCCTTTGAATTTGATCAGCATAAGCCCAGGTCCCAAAATCTTATTAAACAAGTTGACTCCTTATCAGGTCACCCATGTGGCTATTGTTACAGCAGAAAGGAACGTTGAGGACACTTAACTTTAGCTGCAGACTAAGGTAGAAAAGACCAGCATGTATTGATAGCAAACTGCTCTGTATAGCTTAGATTTAATGCAGACTCCCTTGTTGCCTACATAGTGCCATCCCTGATACATAAGAAATAGCTCACACCTGCTGCTGGTAGCCACAAAAGGACATTTAAAGCCACTGAGGCCTCTTAAACAGCTAAAAGTCCACTGGCAAACCAGCAGTTTTAACAGAGGTGGTCTGTATTGACTAATTCAATTCCTATTTCCTCATAAAACCAGCCCATGTCCCAACTAAAAAAAGCCTCCTGAGCTTCCTGCCTTTTTTTAATTTTTTTATAAAGTAGCACAGTGCTCCGTAACACGTGCGGATCAAAGAGCTACGAAGGGCTCTACCTTTCCAAGGAGCACGAAAGAGAGGCCAAGCAAACAGCAGAGCAACACTGGGGAGAGCACCCTGCAGCTTTATATTTATTTTGTGCCTTTTCATCCCAGATTTTCAAAGGTTTGGTCCAGGTTGCTCTTCCTGGGAAGGTTTTCCTCTCAGTCTTACATGAAAACATTCAGCTTCCTGTTGAGGAATGGCCTTGAGGCGCCAGGCCAGTAGTTCACAGCAGTCTGATACAAGCGCTGTGATTCAGAGCTACTCCCCATTAGCAGCCAGGAATGTCTACTTCACTGAAGGAAATGAAATGCTCTTCTGTTGAGATGGTTCCCTGCCTCCTCCCCCCTTCCCTTACCAGCAAGCTGTCTTTGAAGTCAGGAGGTTAAAATAACGACCGTGGCCTTGCTCTGGCCCTCAGCTTTTTCCAACAGCAGCCATTGCTTCTTTCTCAATCCAGAGGCAGCACTGCAACGCCTGCCTCCTTTCCATAGCTCCTAACTATGTCCAGCTCCTCCAGAGAAGCTGCAGACACCACGGTGATTCTGGAAGGGGACAGGCACAGGGAAGCCCCACGTATTTTTATTTCCAAGCAGTACAGCAAATTACAGAGTAGCTATCCTGAAAACGGCATCTAGAACCCAGCCTTTCCCTGGCTGCACATTAAGGCTACACGCTGGAAATTGCTTCTACTGCTGATAAACCAAATAATACCTAAAAAATACGAGTGATGATGGTGTTGCCTTACAGATATAAAACAGGTCAAATCAGGATTCTTTTCAAGAAACCACAGGCATGTGCTAAGGAGACTGAAGACTTCCCACATCTAAGGCTTCACTGGGGGGCTGCAGCTGAAGTCTCGCCAGGCGAGGCATGCCCTAGCAAAGCCCAATCCACAAGCGAAGTCGGCACAAATCAAAGACTGCAATTACAGCTCCCTGGCTGTGGTTAGGCTTCAAAGAAAGTGCTGCAAGTCACATTTTACATATGTGAAGTCTTGAGCCTGAGCCACAATAGGAGGCACTGTCTGTGCCATTTGCAGTGTACATCTGACTGCAGGAGGAAAGGGGAAAAAGAAAAAGAAAACAACACCTCGAGTAAGAAACAGACATAAGATTCAAGAATAATGAAGTGCAAAAAGAAGACCTTACTATTGAAGTGGTAAAACTAATTCAGGAATTGCTGCAGTAAAACTAAATTCTCCTAGCACGCCTGGGCTCAGTGGCTGAGGGGATCAGAAGTCCTCCCCATGCTTCAGAATGAGATGGATGAAGGGTGGGTCTGTAAAAGTTTTGTTCTCCTCCTCTGGTCTTTTAACTTTTCTAGAACAAGGGAGAGAATTATGCAGCTTCATCCAGGTCATGCTAATCAGAAAAGGTTATTGAAGAAAGTCAGGAATGTCCAGATCAGTACAGGAATAAGTACTGAGTAAAAGAGATACCTAACCCTTCACAGAGGGCAAGGGATATTAAACATCTTAAATTAAGTACTTTTTTTCCTACACTTTTATTCCACACATGGACACATGCTCTCCAGTATCACACTGTTTACCTATCACATTGTTTGGATATAGTTCTAAGGAGAGACAAGACTACATACAACAGGCAGTTACATGTATTTTTTTTTTAAAAGAATAAAGTTCATATCCAAACCCATCTTTTAATACAGTTCTTCAAACAACATGGCAAATTCGGGGACCCAAAAGCTGAAACTGTCATTTTCTTTGTAAGTCCAAAACAGATATGTTCGACTTACTGCCAGCCATGGTTTATTCAATACTCCAGAAAGCCAGCTATGCAAAACCAGGTCATTATTTATCAGGGCAGTTCGTGGTGTTTGTGAAGTCCCTCTGTATTTTCTTTAACAGCAGAGTTGGAGAGGGTTTCAGGCACAAGCAGATAGAAGCCGGCGCTGCCGTCTGCTCCTCTTCCTGCCCAGCTGTGCCATGGTTTGTGGGTTTAGCCCAAACCAGATCCTTGAGATGTTCAGGGCAAACACAAACAAACACTCCACAACCCTTGTTGTTTCTAAACAAAAAAAGCACCTCCCAACAAAACCCCAGTCATTTAAGTAATCCAATTTGCTGCAGGGTCCCACAAGCTCTTACAAAACATGGATGGAGAGACCTACGGGAGACAGGAAAAAGCCCTCTCTGTAAGAGCTGGATACCAGCAGGCAGCAGAGGAAACTTTTTAAGCTGCCTTTGTATCCAAAGAAATGACATAAAATTGTACCATAAAACTGTAACAGATGCTGCCATGTTGAAACTATATTAGTATGAAGTTTTTCTTGGTCTGTCTAACCCCTCCATCACCCTTGCTACTTTTAACCTCAGTCCATTGCTGCTAACTGTGAATGGAAACTCCAACAGCAAATTATTCACTGTTGTTTTAAATGCCCTGAATTAGCTGCCCCTAAAATACCTCTTCATTGACTACAGGTGGAGCCTGGAGCCCTAACTTCTGTCCTCACAGTTTGACCTCAGCTAGATGCATTAAGTGAGCAGCAGGAATATTCCTCCCCCAGCCTTCCCAAGCCAGAGGCCTCTTCCAGAGCAGATTAGTTTCAACTCAGAAAACGCCCAGGTATTTTAGGGTTCCCGTTTTGTGCAGCTGACGGCAATGGTGCCAAGCAGGTGTGGCTCTTATCAAAGGCCACCAGTGTAGGCAGCACAAAACTACCAGCTTTATCACTTAGCTAGAATCTTTTAAATTATCTTACTGGAAGACCCAAGACATGCTTTTCCTGTTGGGTGTGGGAGGGGAGAGAGGCACCATGTTTATAATAAAAACCAGATTGCCTCTAGACAGCTGTCTCTAGCAGCTTCTTAAAGAGGAACAGTATCCTAAAGGCGAGGAAGAGGGAGGAAGAAACAGGCTTGTCTCCTTTCTGTATATTTATGGCATATAATAAATATTCAGGAGACTATTTTTAAAATTATTTGTTTTCTATACTGAGAGCTAGGAGCACTGAAATTGCTACTTCAGTTTTTCACCTGCCGTAACAGAGAAGAACATGAGGTATTGGTAAAGCAATAAGTGAAGATTCTTTCAGAAGAAAGAAATAACACGGGTACAGTTTCCTCTTTAGATCTTTTTGTCTG